AGTATTTACTAAAGACTCTTCGGGGTCTAATTTCTAGAACTAAGACAAAGCTCAGCTATTGTGGTCAAAAGAATTTTTTTTTTTTTAAAAAAAGAGCAAAATCCTTGTATATTGGATGTCAGCACAGTCTCCTAGTATCTAAGAACTTCATTAGTCATGTGTATGCATTGAGTTGGTTTTTTTTTTAAGTTAAAAAAATGAGAATTCTTGTAAGCAGTTCTACTTTTTAAAATAGAAAAGAGGCAATTTTTATTATTTGCGGCCTGTTCTGGGAAAATAGAAGCAGTGTGCATTGGGGACTGCCCACCTGTTACTGATGGTTACCAGAGAGAAGGGACTGCTGGGTCACACATAATACCTGTAGATACTCCTTTCTCTCAGAGAGTAGCAGAATTCCCCTTGCTATTCTCTGCAAGAATATGTGCCACTCTGCAGAAGCAAGAGAAAGTAATGCCATATTCACTAGTGGCCTGAACATGCATAATATATGAAAGCTGGAGTCTCAGATGCTGGCATCCAGGTCTCTCAGGCAAAGTGACTATATGGCCACTTCTAGAGAAGGACTGTTCTTGGGGAGGAATAGGGATTAAATTCTTAATAATGAAAGAAACCATTCACCAATTTGGGAAATCTACTGATCATTGTTATAAAAAGTGAATTGAGACAATTATATGAATGTTTCAACTAAATTCAGGCCAAAGTATGTTTGTGTCTGAATTCTCCAAATAATGGCGTTCCAGTGAAAAGAATTCTACCTGGGTGAAGTGGCACATGCCTGTAAATCCCAGCTACTCAAGAGGCTGAGGCAGGAGGATTTCAAGTTCAAGCTCAGCCCAGTGGCAATTTAGTAAGACTGTGTCTAAAGAAAGAAAAAAGAAAAAGCATTGGATGTAGTTCAGTGGTAGAATTCTTGCCTAGAGCTAGATTCATCCCCAGTTTCCACCATCCCAAATGGGGGGGGGGGGGGCAGTGAGGAATCCTAAATTGGGAGTTGGAACCTCTGGGTTGATTAAGGAATGTTTAAAGACACACTGTAAGTCCCTTTTTCCTTGTGTATAAAATTAGGTTTCCTTACTTGAAAGTATGAGTCTATCCAAAAGAGTGGATGAATTTAGCTTTGTTAGGTCTGAACACACATTTCTTATACCAGAAAAACGTCAAGTTAGTGAAATTGTTGGGACAGTGGAACCAGAGGGGACATATGTGCATTGGGGACAGCAAAGTCAAAGTCAACCCTAAGGCAGATATTAAGAGGACTTATTTGCTAGGGCTGGGGCTGCTGAGATGCTGCTGCCGCTGCTGCTGCTGCTGATGATGATGATTTTATTTATTTATTTATTTTTCACGAGGAGTTTAGAATCTGCCTCAGTTGTAGAAGGAGCATTAGGTTTCTGATGCAGAAGCTAAGGGGCTGGAGTGACCCATCCCAGGATGGCTGAAGTCCTCTATCTATCGTCCTGACTTACTTACAGGCAGCAGAGTGTGAAGTGGGTAAGGAGACAGGGGCTTCCCTTGGTCCCTGACTGGGCAAGTTCAGCACCTGGACCTTTATTTACCATAAGGGTGCTCCGCAGAGAAAGGAGCTCTGACCAAAGGAGGGCAGGAGACTCGATCTTTGTGGAGAGGGCGTGGCAGTGCAGAATGGAGCAGGCAGACGTCCAGGTGGTATGGTTCTCTCCACTTCCTTGTCCATCGCGGGTCCGGAGGTTTTCTAGGTAGCTGGGGCAAAAGTGGCTACAAAGCCCCTACACACGGGTTGGCTGAGGTGGTGGGAGCTAGGGTTCTTTGAGAATTGACCACTGAGGCCTCGCCCCCGCTGGCCCATCTCCAGGCAGGTCTGACAAGTGCCAGAGGGTACTTCCCAAACCAAACCCAGCCCTCACCCCCGCCCAGCAGTTCCTTGTCCCGCGTGGCCCCGGGTTAGCCCAGGCCCCGCAGCCTGGTGTATGCACAGCTGTGCTGCGGCCCCTTTGGCCGAGAGGGGCGCTCTGGGGCTCAGGGTGCTGCGGGTTGTGGGAAGGGGGTGGGGAGGGGGCTGGAGGCTGGGAGAAGGATGGACCCTGCCCTTGGCCTGGGGGCCATGTGGTGGGCGCGGCCAGATTCCCCGGCGGGCTCAGGCTTTCCACCCTGAGTTCTCCGCGCCCGGGAGGAATCTTGTTTTCTGGGCGGATGCTGGAAGGGACAGCCTTTGGAGAGCTGCAGAGCTCACACTGCCCAAGCTACGGTGGAGGCCCGGATCCTTCATCGGATGAGTCTCACCTCTGAAGACCCGTGTCTCCGCTGCGGCGCGCGTTTCCTGCCAAACTCCAGCGTCGCCCGAACCAAAAGCGTCAGTTCAACTTTCCGTGTTCCTTGAGAAAACGGAAGCTCCTACTGTCGCCCTTCTTTACCAGCACCCAGAAACCGAAATTCCCGGCTGGGGGTGTGAAGGAGGGGTGGGGAAGGGGCGACAGCGCCCTGGGACCCTCCTCCCCGCCCACCAAGAATGACTGTCCTTTGTGTCATGGGATTGGAGTTTGGAACTGGTCATAGAACGCGGAACAGAGGAGAAAAGCTCCTGTGACTGTGACAATTCTTAGAAACCTTGCAGGAGGCCCTGGGAAAACAAAGAAGGGGACCAGAGGCCACGGAGGGCACCGCAGTCTGTTGGATCTCGAAGTGTTCATTACGAAGGAAATCAATTCTTCCTTCCTTCCTTCCTTCCTTCCTTCCTTCCTTCCTTCCTTCCTT